CCTCGTCAAACTTCTAGGCGGTCACTCGTCGAGGCAACCTTCCTCGTCAAACCCCTACGAGGCATTTACTTTGTGACCCACGGGCACAAAGCAATAGTACGCACGTTATTGTGGCGGCGTACTTCCAAATTTAGTAAAGAAGTTATCCTTACTTCTAGGGCTCCCTCGAGAGACCCACATTTAATAGTAGAGTCAGTGCTTACTACAAGACGTCTACAAGACTTTCGGAGCAAAAGAGCTTGCTCCGACATTGTCGTACGGGGAAGATGAACCCCTGCGACGCGACTACGAAATCCAGTGCTACGAGGATTGGTGCCCTCGAAGGTAATACTACGAATAATAAATTAGATCGTGTGAGTATGATCAAGACTGAGCTGGACGAGACCTCGTCCCAAATCGGAGAGACCAGCGGTCACACGAACTGCCCTCACACCTGTTTGCCGGCGAAAGATCTCTCGACATTCGGGGTGAAAGAGGAAATGGCCTCTCCTGCCAACGCTATATCGATGCTCCGCGAAGAGTCTGAGGGACCGAAGATGGTGGCTCGCGGAAGTACGCGGCACGGCGCAGCCACAGCGCCGTACGCGTTGAGGTCCGCTGCTACGCGAGTTACTGGCACCATCTCGACCACCCCTCACGACGCACTCGCGGATCCGAGTAGCAACCAAGAGTTACCACGAAGTGGGTCACCCACAGATACTCGGGACGAGGTTCAACCTACGTACCAACTGGTAGGGTCCGGGGAATCCCATGAGTCCAACCACGGTTCACGGTCTGGCCCCGGTAGTGGAATACTTCCGATGTCGGGTGATTCGGAACGTGAGCTAGCCGTCGGTGACGACGCTACAGTTCATTCAGCTTTTTTACGAAGTGGTATCCAGCGGGAGCAATGCGCATCGCGTTCGGGTGCCATAGTAAGCGAAAACCCCTTAGCCGACTACGTCATAGGTGACGAAGCCGGCCTTTTTTATCAAAACAATACTTGTACGTCGCCCGTCCATTCTCATGATTTCCCCCGAACATACGATCATCGCCTAAGTGGTCCATATCAAGAAAGTCTAACCCGACACAGCGCTCAACGCGGAGCTCGACATTCTTCGTCGAGATCTCCCCCACGAGCTCGTGTCCTAGACACCACGTCTGTAGGTCACATACACCACAGATTCCAGTTGTCAGAGAATATAGTGCGACCGGGCGTCGATAGCGACGATCCCCGTGAACTCCGTGCATTTCTGCCGCGGAACGCGGTCAAGGGAACTGACATCCCAGATCACAGGTTGCGACATGGTTTCCAACGTGGAGCTCGATTAGAACTCCCGAGGTCTCCACCGAGGGCCCATGCCGTCGTTACCAATACAATCGGTCATACTCCACGACACGGCAGTTATTTAATGAATAGCGGTCGGACTGCGGACTGGACGTCGAGTGCGCCGTAGCCTGTTGTTCCAAAAGGCCCCTGGCAGGAAATCACGGGGCGCAATGTTGGATTTTTCTTGCGTCCCGTGACAATCTACACAAAATTTTGGGGTTTGGGGTTCTTTGGATAGAGGAATTGAAATTTGTTCACATTTTGGTTATAGTTCATAGAGGGCGCCAGCTGCCGTAGATTGAAGGTGTTGGAAACGACATAACTTTTTTATACTTAAAGGTATCTCATCTTTGGTAACAAATTCTTATTTTTCAACTCTTTCTACACAAAAAAGGTATACTTTTTTAAAGCAGCTATCTCGCACCGTATTCGAGATATTTGTCTTTGAAACTTCCAATGCTGTTGCATTAAATTACAATTAAGTACCTACAGGTATTATTAATTTAGTGATAAAGTTTCTTAAGTAGGATTTGGACGAAAATCAAATAATTGACGTCTTCCACTTGTCTTATTGCTGTCATTTGTATGCTAATTTCTATTAAGTATTATTCGTATCTAATTAAAATTACATCTTAGCTTACAAATTAAATTGTATACTCGTATACATATATGTGAGATAGAATGCCGAGGTTTTCGTTTTTGGAGTTACATGAAATCAGTTGTTTAAGGAAAAACTATAAACACTTGAGAAGAACTTTAGTAGCAGATTATAAATACTGCAGTCATTTCGCATTGAGAATTTGTACTTTAAAATAAGACAATATTTTAATAAACGTGTTGATAAATGTATTGAAGTTAGAGATGGGCTTTTTGAGCAATTATTGTCAAAAAAGCATATTTTTTTTACTAATGTTTTTATAATTTATAAAAAAAGGACTAACAAGGGAATCACCATAGATACCAGCCCAAACATTTAATTTTTCTGTGTGTTGAGTATGCTGTTCGTGGAATATTCTTGGATTGGAGTCTGTCCAGTAACGGTAATTATGGCGGTTGACGGTGCCATTTAGGAAAAAGCTGCACTCATCGGAAAAACAAATGTTGAAAAGAAAATTTGGATTATGCATCGCCCGTTCAGTCATGACCTCGCAAAATTGTACCCGGCGGTCAAAGTCATCTTCGTGAAGTTCATGGAGAAGGTGAATTTTATAAGGATGGAACTTGTAATGTTTTAAAATTCGTTGTACACTACCCCGACTTACACCGCTTACAGAAGCCAATTGCCGTGTACTTAGCCTATGATCTAAAGCAACGTGTCCCAGAACTGCAACCTCCACAGCTTCATTACGTACAGGGCGTTCATTGTTTCGCTTTTTATTGCCCACAGATCCCGTCTCCCGGAATTTTCTTACTAACTCCAAGACAATTTTGCGATGGACGGGTTTATTGGCATGTCGTTCAGTAAACAACTGAGCTGCACTCGAAGCACATTCGTTATTTTTATAAAATAATTCAATTATTTCCACCCTGTCTTGCATCGAATAAACCATTTTTAATTATTTTGTATTTAATGCGAAAGAGCCACTAAAACCACTAACACCACTTTACGACAAAATCGCTTACTGAAAAATAGTCTCTTATCTATACCGTTTTTAGTGGAATTTGTGAAAGAAATAACTGCAAACAATCTAACAACACGTTGGAGTAAGTAATGAGAATAGTTCACGTAAAATTATTTATTATTGAATGGAAGTTGTTGGTCAATTATTTCCAGCCATTTGAATATGTTTAGACGCTTATTTAACTTAATGATTTTGAAATTAATAGCGAACTGGATAGCGAATTTTAATTAGAGAATAATTTGTAGAGATAATAGGAAATTTTGTATGTGTTAAGTTCTGCACCCTTTATCTTTAAAAAAATGGGTTGATTTTCAAAAGGGACCCATGACTGTGTAGAGAATCAAAAGAGCTTTTCAACGATAAGCAACTTGACCACCCTTCCTATTTAAAAATTTGGAGGGGATGTTTACCCCGCTCGGGGTAAGTTAGAACCATCTAATTCATGCAAAAAGATGTCCCCCTCGCAAACAAAATCGACGGGTTTTTGCATTTTTCCAAAAAAAGTTTTTCCTAGCCACCAAGGGCTCTGTTACGATTTCGTTGGGCCATCCTATATATATTATATAGTAGTATATACGTATACGTATATACTACCTAAGTTACTTAAATTTTACAACTTACCTTCGATGTGCGTTTATAAAACCGGCAAGTAAATGGAAATTAACAAGCCGTTCATTTTCATTAGACAAATAACACCTACGTTAAACTACAGCAACACCAAATTCCTTGCCTTTAAGAAACTCTGTTATAATTTAAGATAACGTGTTACAAACTATTTTATGTTGTACTTACCGGTTATTTACGAGTTTGCATGTGTTTCATGTTTCATAACCTAAAAGACATCTGTCAGTTATATGTGTTTTTGTCTAATACTGACTTGTTTATAATAATTTTGCATAATTATTATTAAAAATGTCAACACAAAAGCGTCTTCAAAAAACAATAAAATTGCAATACGAGTATTTGCTAAAAATGGTCTTAATTCCTCAATAACGTGCACGTTATATCTTAACAGTTAACGTTAACATCCCTAAAATAACATAACTGTTATTATGATAAAATGGGATACATACTCGGCCTGAATATATCATATAATTTTTTGTCCAACATTGAGAAAACAAGAAATTTTCTTACAAGGAAACTACTCCAACCCGAACACTCCGATTTTCAAAGATTTTTATATATGTTGGTAGAACATAAAAGATTAAGAGACACGTATTTTTATATCGGCGGAAAAATATTTTTACGGGGTGAATACACCCTCAAAGTTCGACCCCAAAACAGTTTTTTCTAAATATCTGGGGTTCTAATCAATATTTTGAAATGAAACAAAATGGAAATTACTTATTATAAAAAATAAATATTTCGGAAGTGATTCCGTGTTTGGGGGTTGCTATCCTTATTTTTTAATTCAGAAAAACTATATCTTTTTATAAAAAAATTCATATTTACTCAAAGAGAGTTAAAAATATGATTTATGTAAACAAATTGACAAAATTAAATTGACCTGTTTCAGGGTTTTCGTTAAAATTCCTTGTTTGAAGGGTGAACAACCCCTTAATGAGAAAAATAAATGCCTGTACGATTAGAATTAACATTGTAAAATAAAAAAAATGCTTTTTCTCTAACCATACGAATAATTTTTTGTTTTAGACTAAAACGGATTTAAACGGATACAAACTACCCCTCGTGTTCACCCCCAAAAATAATATTTCCGTGACAACTCGAGTTCTAATCAATATTTTGGAATGAAACAAAATGGAAATTACTTATTATAAAAAAAACATATGTTTCACAAGTGATTCCGTGTTTGGGGGTTGCAACCCTTATTTTTTATTTCGGGAAAACTAGGTATTTTTCAAATATTTTTTATATATAAAAAATTCATTTTTGCTCAAAAAAATTAAAAATATGATTTATGTAAACAAATTTACAAAATTAAGTTCTCTCTTTAGGGGGGTGAACTACCCCACCCCATAGTGTGCGAAAGATGTCTGTATGATTAGAATTAACACTTTACAATAAAAAGTTTTTACTTTTTCTCTAATACGAATAATTTTTTCTTTTAGCCTAAAACGAATTTAAACGGATGCAAACTACACCCCTGACGTTCACCCTCCAAAAAAGGCTGTTTTCTAAATATTTCGGGTTCTAATCAATATTTTGGAATGAAACAAAATGGAAATTACTTCTTATAAAAAAAAACATATGTTTCACAAGTGATTCCGTGTTTGGGGGTTGCAACCCTTATTTTTTATTTCGGGAAAACTATAGGTATTTTTCAAATATTTTTTATATATAAAAAATTCATATTTGCTCAAAAAAATTATAAAATATGATATATGTAAACAAATTTACAAAATTAAGTTCTCTCTTTAGGGGGGTGAACTACCCCACCCCATAGTATGCGAAAGATGTCTGTATGATTAGAATTAACACTTTACAATAAAAAGTTTTTACTTTTTCTCTAATACGAATAATTTTTTCTTTTAGCCTAAAACGAATTTAAACGGATGCAAACTACACCCCTGACGTTCACCCTCCAAAAAAGGCTGTTTTCTAAATATTTCGGGTTCTAATCAATATTTTGGAATGAAACAAAATGGAAATTACTTCTTATAAAAAAAACATATGTTTCACAAGTGATTCCGTGTTGGGGGGTTGCAACCCTTTTTTTTATTTCGGAAAAAATGTTTTTTTGCACTTTTTTATAAAAAATTTATATTTGCTCAAAAAAAAAATTAAAAATCATTTATGTAAACAAATTGACAAAATTAAGTTGACCTGTTTTTTATCGGCGGAAAAACATATTTACGGGGTGAAATACAGCCTCAAAGTATGCCCCTAAAACAGTTTTTTCTAAATATCTGGGGTTCTAATCAATATTTTGGAATTTAATAAAATGGAAATTATTTTTATTATACAGAACGAATGATTCACAAGCAATTTTGTCTGTAGTCTTTATTTTTTGTGAAAATTTACGAAAATAAAAAAATAAGTATAATTTTACTACTAGTTTAGTAGTAGTTTACTAGTAAAACTCATGGTAACTGTTTATTGACAAGTATTTACCAAACTAATAATCCAGATTTACAAAGATATCCTCGTAAAAAGTGTTTTGTAAAACTGAAGGAGAGGTTTGAAAGAACAATAAATGCAAATTATGAGAAGACAATAAGAACACACGCATGCAGTATCCAAAACAGTAAATTAACATCGTGCATTTCTAACAAAAGTAATAAAGACCTAGTTAAATTAGTAATTAACAGGTAATCGCTCAAAATGTCTGCCAATTTTCTCTAGACATTGAGCAATTCTGCGACGAAAATTGGTAAATACTTGTCAATAAACAGTTACCATGAGTTTTACTAATTATTCTATTATTTATTTCCTAATTCTTCTTTAGAGTAATTCATTTCACTATTATTACTGTCGCTTTTCTATTAAACCTTATGTGAATCGAAAATTTTCGAGAATATCCTTTGACAGGAGCCTACTACGTTATTTTATAACGAGCGTTCAAATAAAAACGTGGTCAAGTTGGTTCTGAAAATTTGGACGTAGGGTGTAGCGTATAGCAAATGAACTTAAACGTCATCTGCCAAAGCGCTATATGGCCGCTATCAATTTGAATATTTTCGTTTTAAAAAGCGTTTAAAATGGTGTTTTCTCAAGAACAAAAAGTGTTTATCATAGAGTCCTACTTTAGAAATGGACGCAAGATTGATGGAGTATGGAAGTATTCTATTGAGGAATGTTTCATAGAATTTCAAAATCAATTTCCCGGCGTTGTTGAGTACAAAATTTTTCAAAGTGCAGTGCAGTGTTGTGTTAATGTTTTTCGTGAAACGGGCAGTGTAACAAGAAAAGAAGGAAGCGGCCGACCTAAAAAGCGGACTGAAGAATTAAAAGAAAATGTCCAACAAATAATGGAAAATGCGCCAAGAACTTCTGTACGTGTTTTATCACAAATGGTGGGAGTATCAGTCGGTACCTGCCACACAGTGTTAAAAAAAGATTTGCGTTTGTTCTCCTATCGTTTAACTTGTCAGCAAGAACTTCATGAAGTTGATTTTCCGCGACGGGCTGTATTTTGTGAATGGTTTTTAAACAACTACGGTGAACTTCATAATATCACCTTTTTTTCTGATGAAGCCTGGTTTCATTTAAGTGGTTACGGAAACTCACAGAATATGAATGTGGTCTTCTGAAAAACCAGATAACTTTTTTGTCGGGGGCCCTCTACACGCTCAAAAAATTGGAGTTTGGTGTGCTCTCAATCGAAGGAGGATTTATGGACATATTTTTTTTTAATGGTACTCTTACTGCGCAAAGGTATAGAGAAGAAATTATCGCTCCTTTTGTTAACCAGCTGGAAGAAAACGAAATTACAAACTTTTACTTTCAACAAGATGGCGCAAGGGCACATACGGCAGGCGAGACGATGAATATGTTGAGGGAAGTTTTCCAAAATCGACTAATAAGTTTCAATGCTGAACATGAATTTCCACCGAGGTCATGTGATATTACGCCGTGTGATTTCTTTTTGTGGCCTTACCTTAAAAACACTATTTTTGAACTGCCTATTCCTGATTTAAACCATCTGCAGGCTCGACTTATAGACAAGATTCGTGAAATTAACAATACCCCGAGCATCTTAGAAAATGTCTTTAATTCTTTGAGGAACGGGTGTGAAAAGTGCTTGGAACAAGGAGGGGGACACTTTCAGCAGCTGCTTTAATTTATTGTTATAACAAGGAGGGGGACACTTTCCGCAGCTCCTTTAATTGTTTGTTATTGTTATCACGATTATTCTTTAAAATAAAGTTATATAGTCATTAACGTTATTGAAACTGACAGCTGCTATACAGCTCGTTGAGAAATGAGGTTAAGTTGGTCGCTATAAGCTACTCCCTACGTCCAATGTGTCAGAGCCAACTTCGACCACGTTTTTATTTGAACGCTCGTTATATAAGCTATTTGTAAACTTCGCATTTTTTCGTAAAAATGAGATTTCATGAAAAACTAATGAATTTTGGTATAGGAGCGGGTATAGCAAAGTTGTAGAGAATTTAATTCTGCGTCTCATGGTATGAAAATATACAGGGTGTTGCATTTAAAAAATTCGAGGTTTTTCAATTTTTCAATTGGCAATTTTGACATGATATTTTGGTCACCCTGTATAACGCAGGCCAGTTTTTGGAGTATGATTCGGAAGAGTCATCCTTAATAAACATCTGATAAAAAATGGGCTTGGTAGCTATTAGTATAACCTGTCAGTATCAGAAAATGTAAGCAACCAATATCGACTAGAAAAACCTTTCAAGCGAGATATCTCAAAAACTGTGAATATTTTAATAGAACTATTCTACACAAAGTACCCTTTATTTTTTATGTAGAATCCGAAAAAAATATAAAAAATGTGTGTTTCCATTTAAAAAACCAAAGTTGGTGTCTGGCCAGGAAAAGTGGAACACCTTGTATAGTTGAATATATTTTTAATTTGTACATTCCGAGAAATGTGGCAACACAGTAAAAAGAAAAATTCATATATTCCTCATTTTAACATAGATATTGGACTTTCCCGCACTAGTGGGACACGCTGTATACTGTATACCCTGCATAGCATCTGTATACCTGAATGGATGGCTGATTTGGATTCAGTAACCCCGACAATTTAAGAAATATGTGTTGGACAGATTGCACGGCTTCTCTTCATTTGACCTTACAATGAGTTTTCTTCAATTTATACCTCGCGGTATTATAACTCCTACTTTTCGGCGACTATATCTCGGAAAATATAATTTTCTCAGCTTAGTGCCTATGACAACTTTTTATCTACGCTTCGAGAACTATTCAAATCCAAATTTTCAGAGCTATCGGCTGGAAGCCATTTTCCATAAGGAACCTGCGGGGTCCTTTCTTGTTTTCCTAATGTTTTGGACAAAAAATTATATGATATATATTTATGTTATTGTTATCACTTTGTTATTATTAATACAATTCAAACTACAAGTCTACAAGTATTAATAAATAAATTTCCACGTTTTACATACACAAGAATGCGTAAAAATATCGAGCTTTTACAAAATTTAATCAATAAAAATACTAGAAAGGTAGGCAAACTTCGCTGACGCGAAGTTTGACCTTTCTCTCGGGCCTTCGGCCCTCGGGCCGCGCTGCGCACGGCCCGTGCACCGCTCCGCGGTGCTCTCTTCGCTGGTTAGTAGATATAACATTTTTTGAAACACTCTCTACTTTGGTTTTTTACACACCCTGTATATAAAAGTTTGATGAGAATGTTTTTCAAAAAAGAGTAGGCCCCGCTGGAGAAAAGAATAAGAAAAGTTTCTTCCAAACTTCCAAAAAAGGCATCTGGTTAGTAAATATAAAATTTTTCATCCAAAGACTACGTAGGTGAGTCAGAAATGGTAAAATAATAAGTTAAAACATCTGCTTAATAAATATACAAATTTTCATTAAAAGACTGTAGTAAATAAAGACAAAGCTAAAAGTGAAAAGAAACAAAACTGCCCTTAATTCTTTAGAACATCTAGTATATGGATTTTAAAAAAAGCGACTTTTCTTCAAAAGATTTAAAGAAAAAATTAAAAAAATGAAAAATGAAAAATCTAATCCACCTGTGTAAGTTTTACGAATCATCCTGTACATAAGTTGCAAAAAACACCTGATTGGTAGGGTATAAGATTTTTCATAAAAATATTCCAGATTTCAGTACAAAATATGAAAATGGAAAAAACAATAAGGAAAGTTTCCTTCTACTCATAATTTTAATCTGCATCAGTATTGTGGAACATTCAATATAAAGATTCAAAAAGACATCCGGTTATTAAATATACAATTTTTCATTAAAAGATTTTAGTATAAAAACAAAGTTAAAAGTGAAAAGGGAAAAAAATTGCCCGTTTCGGATGTGGGTCAATTTTGTAGATCACCCAGTACATATATGGATTTTCTAAAAAGCGGCTGCTCAATAAATATACAACTTTTCTTCAAAAGATTTAATGAAAAAATTAACAAAATGAATAAGAGAAAATCTGGTCCACCTGTGTCAGTTTTATGAAACATCCTGTACATAAATTGCAAAAAAACATTTGACACCGTGTGTAGAAATATCTATTTGAAA